AACCTCCGTTGTGTTGTTTAGAAAAAAGAGCCGCTCGGTAATGTTTGAGTAGGGGGCGAACGTAGCCAGTCGACGGCAGTGATCATTGAGGTCGGAGTGCTTAGCGACCGGCGGAGACGAGGGACGAGGACGACGATGAGTGAGTGAATGCTGAGTACAGCGCACTCACTGCCGGATGCGGAGAGCGGAGGGCGGAGAGCGGAGAGCCGAAGGCGGATAGTGGTAGCGGTGGCGGCGGCGGAAGCGCTAGCCAATGTGTTGCCGAATGCTGCTAACTCTGTCAGGCTATACGATTACGCATGCTATTTTACAAACTGTGGCCAGCGATTGGCTATGATGTTTGAGAATTCTCTAATAAAAAACGGACTCTATTATAAGCGTATCCGGCGGTTTCCAATATTGTATGGTGGAATAGGAGCGCGAGTAACTAACTGGTTCGAGATGGTGTGCAATACATGCATGGTCTTTGGTTCGATCTCATCTCCAGCGTAAAACAAGATCACCACCACTGCGAGGGTGCCAGAGTTAGTGGAGGCATTAAAATCCTTGACACATCGATAACCCACACAAGTCGCAGGCATCAACTCTACGATACTTAAAGTAGTCATGGCGGATCCCTGAGCGATTGATCAGCTCATCGAAGTACTATATTGAACAATCAAACATTCGGATGCTTATGAAGATAGAGAACGTAAGATTTAAATCGCGTTAAAAGAATTGCAGTAAATCGATGGGCTTATATTAACAAAGGAACATTAAAGAGTAGGTTTTCGAGACTGCTAGCCGGGCACTATTTTTCTCGGCTACCAAAATCCCTACACAGAAGTGTATGTTTATGGAAATAATATTTGAGAATCTTCATAAGAGCATCAGACGTCTTCATGTAATCGGTGTTAGCTGACAGATGACAGAATATCCTAACAATTTCAGTGACCATCTGTCAACAACCCTGATTCATGAGGGATTCAATCACCATTGGGTCGAGTGGCTATCAGGTTTTATTAGGCTAACCTATAGGCTTCATCGTTCATTATAAATTCGTCCATCTGTCTATATACAAGATATAAAACCTATTTCTAGGCGAGAAATGGTACCCATTTATGGAAATTTCCGAGTTTTCCTGTAGGTGTAGCAGCACTGTGGACAGGAATATTTCACATGGAAGCATTTCACCCAAAAATAGGAAACATGAGGCGTTCTCAACAGATGGTATGGTTAAGGTTATGATGAAGATATATGGTTAAGGTCATGATGAAGATCAAGTAGCGCTTATATTTCAACTCTCAGACCAAAATATGGTTGTCCTGTAGCCACCCAGAATTCACCGACGCCTTTCGCGTCCATTAGCGTTCTTAATGTGCTGTGAATTTCCAGAGATAGCGTGGATTTCAGTTGATGATAACAGTGTGGATTAACTAGGCCTCGTACAAATGAGCCACTGGCCAACAAAGGCTGCTTGGATTATTGGCAAATTGGTTTCTATTCTGACCGATATGCACTTTCCTTTCATTTTTATACATAAGTACAACCCACTTGAAAAGGCTAACCCTCAGCAGTATGATCTGCTGGAAACGAATCTGAAAAATGCATTTCTAATTCTGAAAATTCTCCTTTAAAGAGGTCTACAGAGATTTCTTTTCTGCTAACATATTAAAATGAATTCTTCTACGGGGAACATCTGATCCTTAGTGGTAGGTATTATTTCACATTAATTTACGGAATATGGAATGTGTATCGCATAGGACATTAAGGAACTATGTTTTTTTGCCAGTAAAGAGTCTACGGTTTTAAAGCCTCCGAGACAACCAAGCTTTCAATATGCCTGCGTTGACTAAACGTGAGTGGAGTTAGCGCTATTTCAAAACACTGTTCTTATTCCACGACATTCTTGCTTATATCTCTTCCTTTTTTCATTTTTCTTCTTCTCCCTCCATCTCTCTTCTTCTCCACTTTCTTTCTGTTCTGTGTCTGGGTCTTTAGAAGTAAAATATGAGCACATGCGTGTCATAGAAAGCAGAAATGATGAAGTTGTTCGCCATAGATGTAACTTAATGATAGTTAAAGCATTACTCTCCTACATTTCTCAAACGGGCCGTTATTTAACCTTGGCATTAATAACTCTTCTAAAGAATACAGCTACACTTTTAGTCTGGAACGCCTAAGGTTTCCACAGGTTTGATAACCAACTCGCTTCCAAAATGTCCTTTTTAAGCATTTCTCCTCGTGAACGTCAAAAAACTATGGTGTTCAACGAAATGCGAAATCGGTCATCATCAAAAATGAATAGCAGAAATAACAGAGGAAGGACTAAATTATAAAAATTTCATAGCATATTCTAACTCGACTGAATAAGAAAGAACTAATAATGAGGAATAGACCCTACCAAAGGTGTTTCATCAAAAGCCACCAAAGTATTTAGTAAGCTTTACCTAGCACGAAAGCAAAGACGACGACTGAAGAGGCAGTCAGTGAGAGAATGAAAAGTAGGAAAGGTTCAGCATAATCATTACCATTACACTAGTACGTTTTTGATGACTTGTTCAAAGGAGCATTTACTCATTAGGTCACCGTTCCAGGATTGACAAATGATGTGTAATAATTGATGAAGAATATCACGCGTCATCGGTGAAACTGAACGTTGTGCAAACCTCACACTATAGAATGAGTCAGTGTCCCGAGTGTGAGCTCATAATATTTAGTGGTTGAGAATCCACTAAAATGAAACGTCAAGCGCCCGATAGCCTTGTCAAGGTCGTCGTCAGACGACATTGGATCGTCTTAGGGACGGTTATAAGAGCAGAACGGGTGAACGTTGAAGTGATAGGGAGGACACCACCTCGTTTCACTGGTCTGATCCATGATCTTTGACAAACAAAACTCTAAAAGTTGCCTGTTGTGTCATAGGATTTATATCATACTCTTTAGGAAATGAAAACACCTATTTATCTTGGTGGGCATCATGAAGTATTATATTGTGTAAGACAGATCCATGTTCAGATAAGCTACAGTATAACAGTTGCGGAATTATGAGTGAACATTTCGATGATTTTATCATTATCTGGCAGATTTCTATACTTAGATGATATGACAGCCAATATATTAGATTATAGATTATACTGATTGAAATATTCTTAACGCCATAGAGAAATATAAGTATTCTATGAGAATTGGTAGAGGAAACTTTGTAGATGTGAAGTTTCGAGCTCAATGATTCATATCTCAGTTCACGACCATTATATCATCGCAAAAAGTGTCCTCGTATGAAAAAAAGAGCCTATTAGAATTTTTTACAGCAGGGTATTATGTGTAATACAACTACAATGATGCTGAGATATTTGCAAAACTCCGGACCGCAGGTGTCTGTGGCGGGGATCGAAGCCGCTATTACCCTTTCCCGGGGACTAACGCGTTCTACACCATGCCAGTCTTTCGTTTCGGCTGTCTCTCAACAAGTTCTATCGATCATCAACGGGATTGATCTGGGGAGCCTAAATCGTCAAGGAACCCAATTAAGCTGAGGTTGTAGTCTAAATCGCAGAATCAACTTTTTATTTGTTGCCTATTACAATTTTTTCACGAAAAAAAGAGATTTTGAAGAAAAACTACACGAAAAGTTTCATTTTTTGCAAGGAAATTTTTGTGGCTGACACATTCTTTTCTCCTATTACGAAGAAAAAAACTAGTTTTCTTTGCTTTTAAAGCCGTTAATGACTTTCTTAAGAAGAATTAAAGAACAACAAGCGCAGATAATGGTGACCTAGTCAACGTCGAATAGAAATAAGACTTTCATTCTGGAACTTCTCCAGGAAAATAAAGCAAGCCCTCCATACCGTTCTAATAAAAATTCCGTGTTGAAGAAAACACAGAAACACGGTAGTGAAAGGCGACATGACCGTCGAGAATATTCGATTAAAGAATTGAGGAGAACTGTAAGGGTATTCAGACTTGTTGAAGGTAAGCGCAGAATCATAACTAGTTCTGAAATGTTGATGACTATGATGTATTTCGTAAGACTCCAAAGAAAGAAAAAAACCAACGAAAGAGATGAATAGATTATGAGTAGGTTATACTTTGACTATTGTAGATATACGAGACTGGCAATTCACAAGCACTAGTGATTGATTCATCAAAAGCTCTAGAAGAGATAGTTAGGTGAAGAAGGAACGAATCAAAGTATGTCTAGTGAAGTCGGCATCACCCCTCGTCGATGTACTTCCGCTGAATCACGCAATACCGGTTGCTGATCAGTGTACAATAACAGAAGAACTCACCAGCCATGCTGGGGCTACGAAGTAACTGCAATCTTTATTGACAAAGGAAACTGTACCCTGTATCATCCAGATAGAGATTTGTAAGGATAATAGCACAAAATCTAGGACTATGTTCAAGTTCATGATTAACCGTTTCCCACAAACGACCGTCTTGCCCTGATTGAACGACTACGTTTACCTTTCTCCTTTAAGCGAGTAACTTTTATAATAGCAATGAGCTTATGCTTAAATCTCGTGTTTCAAAAGTTAACATGATAATTTCGTTATAGAATAACAGGTTCAATGCACTGATGGGAACATATTGATGCCATCTCTGTTTATTCAGCACTATTTAGAATAGGTGATCCATCAGGATGCCATTCACGGGTTAGTCATTTGGTTGGTTGATGAGATCATTAGATAGCTCGGCGAGAGGGTTTTCATGATTGTTACCGACTATGACTTGCTATATAACATAACTGAACTTAGGAGAAAAATCATCCAAGTTCATATCCTTTAAAGTGAACAAAGCCCTTTGCAGTGGCGGGATTTCTCCTAGCTGGCCTCGTTTTCTAAAAGCTATTAAGTCTTCTTCATAATGAGGGAACTTATACGCAGACGAAATGAAGTTACAAAGTCTCTACTGCGTCTTATACATTTAAAGGACACTACTTCATCGCCGATAAGGCGGTGAACCATCGATAAAGATTTTCGAGGTTTCGGCAATCTTTTTGCTTGGTCTTTACAAACATGAAAAAGCGAAGGTTGTTTATTTAAGCATTACTGTAACAAAGTTGGACAACATAGCCGACTTAACCACTTAATAGACTCCTATCACTTACCGTTCTGTTGATCGTCGAGTGACTCTGTAGGATGCCACTAAATTTTTCATTTATTCCTGTCGCGTGCAAGAGTAGCGCAGTGGATCCTGCTTGTTCTAGAAAATCGTTGAGCATCATATCTTTCTTCTAGTGTTTTCGTGAAGGCCTCTCATTATAGAGTCGGTGGCCTTCCTGCTGCGCTTTAGACATTATGACCCAGCCGCCACAGTAATAGAAAAACATTAACATGTAACTTGTTGGTAGTCAAACTAATACATCATTTTCTCCTTCTCATTAGATGCCATTTCAGATGCGATTCGACATCGTTCTCTAAGCTGATCATCTCTTCACTAGGAGGCATCTATGCCACTTCTTTCACTATCCATTCCTGTGCCACCGTTTTCGTAGCGAACGATAGCTTTGCCGGCGTCGTAGTGTCTGATCGGATTGAGTTCTCAAATATAGGTAAGCTACAAAGACATAACTTGGAAATTTTGCAAATTTTATGGTGTGTAGTGAATAGGTACTAAAAAACATTGAAAGCAATATCACATAAAGTTTCTTAGAGGTGAAGGATGTGACGGAATCTATAAATATCGACTTTCACGAGAGATATTTGAAAGACCTAACTTCTTGAAGTGATTGGTCTGATTGGTCTCTAATGGAGTCTTTGACTGTAAACAATCATGAATCTTTTCATGCGAGTAAAGGCTTGAAAAATTTCAGATGTTAGAACAAAATGACGAACTTCTAGATTAATAGAGAATAATAGATTAGTCAAGAATATTAGAACATATTCACAAACTATCAAATAAATAGAAAATTACAAACTTTACAATAATTTTTTATTACAGAACTTCACTAAATACTTTTTTGGAATGCACTCAGTTCGCACGCCTCTGAGAATAGTAGCAACCTAAGGACCACTTTCTGTAGGAGTTTATAAAAGATGTTCAGTAAACATAAAGATGGAGAGGAGAGAGTGGGAGAAAAGAGAAAGAAAAAGAAAGAAAGAGATATGATTCATTCAGGTCGACTGACCTTCGAACCATACGCATTTCGAAATTTGCTGCAATCACCAAAACAGTTGGTCATCGATAAGGTGAGTGATGAACAAGGAATAATTATCGATCATCGTTCGTGATGACAACGACCATCACAATGAGAGCTACAACTCTACTATTTATACATTTACTTCCATAGAAAAACACAATACAATGCAACACTAACTGACGTTTCGGCAGTATCGCCTTCTTCAGAGCCGCTTTTTCGTGACTTCCAATGAGGAAGTTTAGAACAGCTGATTATAGTCGCATACGGTTGACGACTGTAGTTATCTTACTGATGAAGCCCTCTAGACTTCTGATCAGCTCTTTAGGTATGCACCTGTGTTCGAGTTCACTGAGCGTCCTAGAGGTGATCCTACCAATGCATCAGAGCAGTGTTATCTTTGACTACCTGGTTAAGTCTAACACCAATTTTCTAACATTAAGGGGATAGAGCAGTTCGGCAGCGTTGGATAGAACGAGCGCGGAATGGCCGCGAATATAACTGGAATCAACACCATCCCGTCAACCGATGATGCAGTCGTCAACCACATGCGACTATAATCAGCTGTTCTAAACGTCCTCATTGGAAGTCACGAAAAAGCGGCTCTGAAGAAGGCGATACTGCTGAAACGTCAGCTAGCGTTGTATTGTATTGTGTTTCTCCATGGAAGTAAATGTATGCTGTTTAAAAACCTCGCGATTGCTGAACAAGAAAACGACACATTCGTATTCCAATGCCGAGGTTAGTAGAAAGTCGATCCTGGGATCTACTATTTATTATTACTTTTTTTGCTTAGAAACGATAACGGGTTCTTAGACGAAGAAGAAGGCAACTGGTTCGTAAATTGTTGAAGCTGCAAGGCTACTTAATGTAGCAATTTCCTTAAATCTCCTAAAACTAAAACATTTAATGGGATATCGATCGGAAACGGTGCTGAATGTATGTATGTATGTGTGTGTGTGGTCTGTTTGTTATGCAAACGGAAAAAAATACCAATGGAAATGACGATGGATGAATAATTCTTCAATTGCTCAACACTCCAAAGAGAGATCTGTAATGGCATTTTGATCAACTACTTTATCAATGACGTTAGTCATATACTGTCACTTTATCTGAATATTTTATTGCTTGGATACTTGGACGGCCCGTCCTCCCTGGCTGTGCGGGCCTCAGAAAATTCTCCGTTTTTCGGAGTTTTGCTAGCTTAGCGGTTGTGTTTCCCTGGAGTCCCGAGGAAAGCCTGACCAAAATCTGCCACAGAATGCTTTACTAACTGAAAGAGAAGCAAAACGTCTTATAGAATTAAAAATGCAAACGGAAAACGCAAATTTCCACAGACACTTTTCATTTTTAAGCAAATAGGGCCCAATCGAGTCAAATCTTATCTAAAACAATAACTTTCTTCCGATGTCATTCACAGACCTTCGTTTATTCAACACTGCTACAGTAACTGGGAAACCCGCAAAAAATACGATGCTGAAGTACTTTGCGAGATATTGACCGACTGCTGTATATACTGGGAAGAGTGGTCACTGTAGTCAGCCCTGGACTCTCCGCTAGCCGCTGTGGTGTAGTGATTATGTTGGTAGCACTCAGTGTTATTCAAAAAATACCCCTTCTACTATATAGTGGGACTCTTAGAAATAATTTGATGACTAAAACTAAAACTTGTTATGAGTGGTGATTGTTCATGCTTCACACCATAGGTGTCTTGAAGTGGTCGACGACCTTTCACTAAATATAGGAGAACTGGACTCTCTGACAACGTGCGAGAACTGGGATTGACCGAGAGGAGAAGGAAGTAATTTCATTTATTGCAATCCATCCACCGATTTTGTGAATTCAGGGCTTGGACATAACTGTGTAGGATTTTTGTAGTGTTCTAGCGAAAACCAAGGAAATTTGTATTATGTTCTTTGAAGACAGTTTTACCCATTCAACAACAGAAACTTCACCTGTCATCTGACTTCCCGTCCTGATTGTCGAGTGCATTTAGCGAGCGACAACCAAGTCTCTATTCGCTCTGTCACGTTCTATGGGTCTTCTATCTCGAGAGTCAGAGGGGCGTCATGAATTTATTTTTAACTCATCGTACGATTTAATGGAACATTCGAGTAGTTAGTTCTTTGAGTCGTCCATAACACTAGGGAAACGTTAAATGGACTATGAGCTCTTAGTGAAATATTCATACAAAAATGTTTTCGACCTATTTATGCTATAATTTTATCAGAACCGTTAAGTTTAACAGATGACGAAGTTATGCAACGTTCATAAAATTTCAGACCATTTAAAATTTCTATTAGTAAAGACGAATTTAAGCGTACCTCAGCAAAATAATCGACGGGAACCCTTTTATTCGATGACGACCACATCGGAGCATCGTTAGATTATTCATTAGCTGACAGACCGAAAATTTTGCACTTTAAGAAATAACTGCAATGCCATACCAAATGAATTCACATCAATGCAGTCTGATCTTATGCCAATGCTTTCTGCTACGAGTTAACACGCTAGCGTTCTTTACTAAGGCATAGCATGAAGCAATAGTAGTTGTACATCTAACATGTTCCGGTACAGTTGCGTCTGTCAGCTGCAAAAATAATGTGGTAGGAATTTTGTTGTTGAGTTCACAACGAGTGTGACACAGTTCGCAATGATTTCTTTTTCCCAAAGGATATTTTGTAGTGAACTAACTTCTCTTCAGCAGTAGTTTTCAATATTGAAGTGAACTCTGTCGATGTGATGAACAGTAGGGAATTTGTTTCTGGTTATTTGTATCTATAGGTAGCTGACATCAATGGCTTTACAGTGTTCATTACCAGTCGTGCTGCCCAATACGTTCACTGGTCTCTCACATATGGAGCATTTATGGATTCGAAATTCGACAATCGACCGACTCTCCACAAATTCATTCTATCATCTGACTCACGTCAACTATCTCTACTTTCGTGATGTCACCATTGGACGAATAGAGCAACGAGCATTTGGTTAGTTGAATGAGAGATAACTTCGCAACGTTAAGTGGGTGAGTTAGAATGGAATTCTCAACCGCCACATGGTTTAAACCACAATGTATAACTTTTCATTTACTGCCGATTACATTTTTCTTTTCATTGTAGTGTATTATGTGAAATACAACTGAAATGATGCTGAAGTATCTGCAAAACCCAGACCCAAGTTCGGATTTGAGACTGTGATTACCCTTTCAGGGATTAACCTGTTAATCACATTGCAACATTCCACGCCTCTACCCTGGTTGAGAGAAAAGCGGAGCGAGGGCACCAGTGGCGCAGTGGGTAAAACATGAGCGCTCAGAAATGGTAATTATGGGTTCAAATTTGACCCAGAGTCTGAGCTTTACAATCATCCCAGCATCATGGTGGCTATCACGTGATTTCCGTGAGTGTAGTCGCGACAAGACTGAAGTTTACGGAATTTTCATATTAAAGTAGAAGCAGATGAGAGTTAATTAACACGAAAACTGTAGGCGAGTTTTAAAGCAAGAAAACTGCCTTATTTTAACTCCTTGTAACTTGTCTGCCAAGGTACTACTGCTATAGTGATGCAGTACTAAAAGATTTTATCGCTGGACATTATCTACACACTAGCAGTTTTTTTGCTGTTCATATGTCTGGGCCGTTTTTAAACGCTACCCATTTTGTGCTCGCTATTAATTGAGCAGCCAGAACCAACTCACCTCAGGGATTTTTGCATAGAATTTTCTTTCAGACTGTATATAGTAAATGAAATACAAGCAAGAGTTTTATAAACGAGTAGGGAAACAATAAAACTATTGATGATTTCCAGTACTTGAATGCACGTGTTATTCCTCGAAACACATTCACTGGCAAACATGAAAAGTGAAAAAGTAAATAGAAGGAATGACTGAAACTATTGAGAAAACCATCGTAATTTTTTTTTTGAGCAGTCTAGCTTAACGACTAGACGAAAAGCCATCGACAAGCTGTCAGTGGACTGAGAAATTTCGAAAAAAAATATCAGTATTCTTGCTCTTATCATTAATATGACTCATTATTTACAGGGAAAATGTATAGCGTCGATCACCTGTTCATGGGTGGAACGATGCAGGTTGATTTGGCCGACGGTTGGTTGTTGGCCGGATCTTCCGTTGAGGAGGTCCTCTTGGAAGGTGTGTTCGGCGAGATCGACGAGGCGTTCATACTCGACGCCAACGTGCATGTCGTCACAATTCGTGACTCTATACTACGTCTACAAAGTCGTGATGAACAAACGACTACAACCTCAGACACACAGATACAGCTGTACACACAACCCCAAACTGCCTTACAGGTCACGAATGTGACTATGAACGCATTACTTCCAGCACTGTTGATGTATTTTAGTAAGGTGGGCTGATTAGACACTTTTCCAGAAACTTAATGAGCTAAAGACTTGAACAATGTAAAATCAAGTGATTTGGAAAGTTGTCATGCTACACTCATTTACTGAACCACTGCTCTGCTCCTCAGCCGTCCCAGGTGTTTAGCAACTATTGGGTTAAGATATTTGTCTGTGAAGCGATTTCTTCGACAGTTTACCCACGACCGTCCCCGTCGATTCTGCCAATAAGTTCGAATAAAATTCGAAAGTTTCACTACCTATCCAGCAACATTTTATGTAAGGATAAAGCTGACTACTTATGGAAGAAACGTAGTCCATTAATAAACTGTCACGAAATTTTAACGAAGAAGCGTAGTATTGAAACATTGTAGTGCAATAATCCAACAACACTTCACATCCATTCAGTCAAAGTACATTTGCTCATTTCTTATGCTCAGTATTTTGGTTCGCCATGTTTGAATTTGACATAGACAGGGTATTGGTAGTTATGCATCCAGTTCCGTGAACGATCACTTATCTTCCTGACCGACGGTCAATTAACCTTGACATCGGTAGCCAATAATTTCTTGGATCATCAAGCTAACACTGGGTTGATAAAAAGGTGGTTTGTTCTGCTAACGTTTCGACTTCTTTGCCCTCTTAAGAACGGAATTGAGCCGCTCCGATGGTCCACAGCTGATCGTTGTCGCATCGAATCCAATCCAGTGAAGGGAGCACCGCTCGAATGGGGAACATCATTCAACGGTACCTTTATTTAATCTAGTTGGCGAATATATCTTCTTATCGATCTCATGTTAGCTTAGTGATCCAAGAGGGCACCGATCATATGTCTGTTAAAAATTTACTCCAAACCAACCACATGCTTAGCTTACCATACTATGGATGAGAAATTTTTCTGTCACTGAACACTTTTAATACTTCCAGATCACCATTTCCAACTGTTCGATTAAGAATGTGCGTCCAAGTCGACGATTGGCTGCATATCCCCGTGACGTCGTCTGGAAATTCTCCCACACTGAAATCGACACCGTCGACTCGTACGCTTTCGCGAATTTCTCGGTTGTCGAGCTCAGCTTCTCGTATTGCAAGCTGGGGCGGATAAAACCAGTTTCGATGGGTGTTGGTGGCCGCTTTCATCGAGTACTATTCGTGGCGACACGAATTTCTTCGTTCGACGAGTCGGCATTCGCCAAAACGCATATTAGAAGTCTAAGAATTTCTGACTCTGAAATACAGCAGGTGCCGTCAATGGCGTTCCATCGCTCGACAATAGACGATCTAAAGATCATCGATACACGGATCGACGTCCTACAAAAGCACATCATAAGTGAAAGCAAGATTAGAACTCTAAGCCTCGAAAAGACAATTGTTAACAACATCGACGCGAAACCTTTTGCACATGCCGAGGTAGGTCCACAATGAAGGAGGTGGATTATAACTTCCTTTGTATTAGTTAACATATTTCTAAATCTTCTCCGGAATTCTCCGATTACTGCCGTTTTTGGATAGCCCACATTTGCGAGTACAACAGAGACCACAACACTTACCATGAGAACGTGAACACATCTGATTGACGTTGCGATAAACACATTGGCCCATCATATAGACTGTGGGACTAAAATAGCATTTTCCATTGCTATTCCAAATCTTCTCACCACGGAATCAAGCCATGTGTTTCGCTTTCGATAGCTCTTCTGCAGAATCTCTTAAAGATATTTGTCGAAATTTTGAGCTGGAAACTTTAATTTAATGTTGTGTGCTGGTAATGTGACATTTCAGAAGGCTTTATTCTATGGCTGATGCATGAAATTTTCTGTTTTGATGCGACAAACCGCTTCTCAATTAGTAAAATCGATCACTGGGAGGAGTTCCATTAAAATCCATGCCCTTTTCGTCCTAATCGAGTTTAGTGCTCATTGCGATGTAGTTACCAGCTTAGGCGAGATAGTTTCGCTCTGCTAAATCGCTTTTCCTGTGCAATGCTAAGGGGATGACAGAAGGCAGCGGGATAAACTATGTAAGACTGTCCCATTACTAGACCGACGAACGCTAATAGAATAACGATCTGATGTGATCTTATTGAAGTGTTCTGCATAGTCGATGGATGTTAGGATGAGAACCATGTGATATTTCCTACTCAGTTGATGACCATAGCTATCATTTCGATGTGATCTATACACTAGAATCCAGCTCCGAGCACTTTTTTTTTACGAAAACATCTCTTCTTTCACTCAGGAACAGGATAACCGTACGCGAAGTCCTTTACTGGTTCGGGATCATTCACGTAGAAAAGAAGTCGTCCTGTGGTCTGCAAGAACTGTGCGTAGTTCGTCGCTCTTACCTTGACATCACTTTTTTTATGTATTGCATCCCTGCCTCTCTTTTTGCACCTGATCATAGCTCGGATGTCGGAGAAATGAAGGTGGATTGCTTTCTTTTCAACAAAGAATTTAGAGTCAAATATAGAGATTGTAGAATGTGAAAGATGAGAGTAGAACTGTGCTCCCATAGATGAGATCAGCCAGTGTTTCGTCTACTAGTTGGAGCATTACTAGATGAGTTATTAGTTTTTCTCTAAACTTTCGAGATATCCTCTGTCGGTGTCCCTAGGTCGTCAACAAAGGCGACCATCAGCATTGATGGACCGAAGAGACGTTTGTTCACCAGCGCCCTGACGATTGGCTCAAACTTGTCTGGGTTCGCGTATGGAAACATCGATTGTCTGATTATCTCGTGTAACCCTAATGAATTCAAGCCATCCTGGGGCTTCTCTCCCACAATGAGGCGGTAAGCCATTGAAATACGTACTCTTTGAGACAGTTTACCTTGAAGCATTTAAGAAAATGAGAAGATCACTAAGAATTCATAAACGTGTCTGCCTGAGCTCGAAAAGCATGGATATCAAACATCTCTTTGGCCCTGGGTAATAAAAATGTTATAATGGATTAATTTTGGAAAACGCTTCTACTGAAAAATTGGCCTTTTGAATTAGCTCGACGTTTCAAAATTTCGGACCTCGTTTAGATTTTACCAGTCAAATTCAATACAGATTTTTTTATAATTTCGGAAAAAAATTGACTACAAACATACAACGATAAAAGTATAAACAAAAATATTGGTCACAAAGCCAAAGCTTGTAGTGCCTACGTACAACCGAGCCATCACTAGCACTTCTTGCTTCTACTTTCGTAACTCTTATTTTTTTCAGATCGACGAAATACGAATCGTCGGTTGTAGTCTAATTGGCTCTCCAGCTTCCCAGCTACTAATAAGACTTACTCCTACTCGTTTGCATATCATCAACAGTACGTTCGACTGCGACGCAGAAGACTGCGAGATGAATTCTATGCTTCTGAATCCACCGCGTCACGAACTGCTCTGGACGTTCAAAGAAAACTCATGCAGAACTCCTGAAATCCTAAACAGTCAGCAAAAAACCATCTGTGCCAAGCCTTCTACTTTCCAGCAATCCGGCCTCATTTGCAGGCTCAGTTGGGCTATGGCGGACTGTATTTGTGCAGAGGCTTCAGCTAACCTTTCCTACATCGATGCGTCTGTTATTATCGTTGGTGATTGTGAGCAACTTACCGTAGCCGAAACCAAGCCAATAACAGCTCTTTACCTTTTCAGAGTAGCTCAATGCGATGTGGTTAAGACACCGAAAACTATGAAAACGTTGAAGGTCTACCACTCAAATCTTGTGGTTCACAAAGGCGCTTTGACAAACAGTTACTTCTCATTGGTTTCTCTAGCGCACACAAACGTTCGTAAAGTTGCTAAACACGGATTGTTTAATGTCAGCGTTGATGAACTGGTCGTCAAGAATTCCATTATGAAATGGGATCCATTAGCCACTGTAAGATCACGAATCCAACGAGCCAGTATCACGGAGTCGAAAATCGGCACAGTAACATCGTGGTTGCAAATTATCGACAATCTCCGCATTACTAGCAGCGTCCTGTTTAGCGCGAAAGGACTATCCACTATAAGAAATCTCTACCTCAGTAACAACACTGTGTTATGTTGCTGTGGTGAGAGTACAGATTACTGCAAGACCGATAAAAGTATGTTAAAGAAATGCACTTTTCATTTCGGTGAATTCGTATGCGATGCCAGCACTGAAAAGGGAAGCACAGGAATACCGAGTGTTCTAATTGTTATCTCATTGACTTTTACAGTAATCTCAATCATATCGATCTAGTAATAAATGGTAATAAAGCTTCGAAATTGTCTACACGCGTACAATTCTGAGTTCCATCAAATCATTGTGAATCCACAACTTTGTGATGTGGACGCCATTTACGGAAATGAGGATACTACTCTGTTAGGTACGGGATACGGTACAGGAAATATGTAAACGCTTCCGAATAAAACTTACAACACCGGAAGTATAAAAAAGGAATATGATCCCCTTCATTGTTTTTGTTACAGAATCATCTCCGTTGTCTTGTTTAGGTTAGTTATGTTAGTTAATATAGTCTTAGCGAATTCTTATAGCTGCTGTAGTCGTTTGTTTAGCATTTGCTCGTCTCAACGAGTCTCTTTTTGAATGGGAAACCAACTTTCATGTGGATCTTCTCGAATGCTGGTTTGAGGCACTCATATATTTCAAATGATGTCAATGTGACTGAAGAGCAATCGTTTGTACCTATCTAGTATATTGGAGCTCACTATTATAGCACTAACTACTACCTTTTGCTCACGAAACGTTCCGTATTTAATGACACTGTCACAAACCGGCAACAGACTCGAATAGAGTTTCTTTGAAAAAATTGTGTACTTTCTCAATGAACTCGTAATATTCGTCGAATAAGAAAACTTGCTTCTCTTCGGTTATGCATGCTTATTGAAATTTTTCTATTCTGTTTATGTTACACGACCCATCATTACATCTAGTGTGCGGATCCTAGCACTTCTCGCATTCGATTCGTCTTCCTCGTGTTCATCGTCCACAACGATCTTCGAACATTTCGCTCACTGCTTCGGCTGCTTCTTGAGGATTCCGTGCACCTTTTGAGTGTCGTAAAAAGCTGGTCGGGTCGATTCTCCTTACAATCTTAGAAATAGGTGAGCTAAGGCGTTCCCACATGGAATGGAGGAGGGCGCTGGGATCGAACTCGAAACCTTGTTTCCTGCTGAACTACATCATCAACCACTGCGCTAAAAATAGGTGTACTTCAACAATTCAACGTTTTCGTATGTTCTTGGGAAAACTGACGACGACATTTGACTCCTTTCAGCTGATATAGATAATTCAAACGAGTTAAGTAGAAAAACATCCTTAACAACTTCATCACTTAACGAAGTTTCTTCTCTACCATAGGAAAAATCTGATGAATGTGACACACTATTTTGAGAGCGGAGCGGGTAGCGCAGTGATTATTGTCGCTTTACAACACACATATCCTCACTGGTTCGATCATACGCTCTGGTTCATTAGCACAGACTTGATACATTAGTAAACCATCGCAATAATCGTATAACCCAGATATGCAACCACTAACCTATAACGATGCGTAATGAAGTCGAATGCACTGCTCATCTCTCAACTCCAAAAACTTTATCCTTTCATTGCGTTCCAAGAAGCTGAATCCATTCTATTCAATGCACAGGCCCCTAGAAGCATCTTGAAAAATCCATGGCCTTTCCGATTTAGGCTATAGTACCAATTTTTTGGTGTGTGACACAGTGGTCGGAGGAGCCCTTCGACACACACGTGGAATCGATCCCCGCTCCCATGGCCCAACAAGCTTTCCATCCGTCCGGGTTCAGCAAATTGGTACCAGATTTTTCTGCGAGGATAGCAGCACTGGCTCGATACATCGGTAGGCCATCACGAGTCATTGTAAAGGCCTGATATGCATTCAATCATCTCCAACGATGCTTAATGAAGTCGAATGCAGGGCGAATCCCTCAGGAGTTGATCAATACCGAGAGCTTTGTCCTTCCGATGTTGCCGATTTTTATTCGAAATATTTCTTGTCATTTATAGAAAATTCCTGTTAAGGTGACGCTAGGTGGACAGTTCCTAGGCATCTGAAGGATAGAAGCCTTACACCCTTCAGCATACTCTGACACGTTTTGACATTAGAAGTGTTTTGGGATATGTTAGCACGTCTCCGTACCTACTGAGACAACTTCTTGAATGCATATTACAGAAAGAATTGGCCTCTGCTGTCCTCCCGTCTTTGGTTTTAATGCGAAAAAAGTGGGGGACATATGGACGTAGACGGATTCCGTCGATCTCCACCTCAAAACAAGAGCAAAACTGGGTAACGAAACTCGAAAACTTCCTCGATGTGGAGCCTAGGAAAATGAATTACACAAACGTAACAAAATGGCTCATGCTGTGACAAGCTGTTATGATTTCTGACCCGCTACAGCGCCCTCCTAATAGCCTCTGAAAGATAACAGAATGTAAAAAAAACTCGCTAGGTTGTGAACTATAAAGATTTGAAGTTAATTTCTCACAAATTACTGCAATAGTAAATGAAGCAGTCCAACTTGACCCGTTGGCAGCATGATTTCATGCCCTAGCGAGAAGTGTAAAGAGCATTGGTATTTGCAGTAGAGCACGAAATCGTTTTACGATAACTTCATTGTCAGGGATACCCAGACAATCCTTCTTTATAGCCACAGTGATGTTTCCTTTTATATATTCTTTATATGTAACAATCCTTTTTCAAATATGTACATATATTTTGGAATGTTTGGCATATACCAACTTTTAGTTAGTTAGTTTAGTTCAGCTATTCCTCTTTCTTTCCGAGTCATCTTGTCTCAGGTTTAAATTTTATTTGTAGTATCCTGTGCTCAGAATGTCGGACGAGTACGATACTGTAGCGCCACCAGATGTGAAGCGAATGAAGACAGATGAAACTGTGGAACGAAAAAGGATATTATATGTGGTTCTTGAAGGGTGTAGTCTTGAATCCGGAAAGGTATTCCACATTTCCATTTCCCTTGTTTCACACTTGTTTGTTGAAGCTGTGAACTTTTTGGTTATGTCTCTATCTGATTATTTGTGTTCGTTTTACTTTATTCTAACGAATTTCAGGTAGGAAAGGATTATGTTATCTTGTGTAGCGATAGACATGCCACCTTCTTACGGAAAAACAAGAGGGATCCAGCAGAGTATCGTCCAGATATCTTACATCAGGTGAGACTTTCATCGATATACTATCGCTTAAATGGTAAATTTTTGTAAATACTGGTAATGCAACGTCTGAGACATCCATGGATTCATATTTGTGTTTGGATAAAGCTATCGGCGTTGATCAGTCCCTGAAGGATGTGCCATGCATATGACTTCACTAAGCATCGTTGGAGATGATTGAATGCATATTTGGCCTTTACAATGACTCGCGGCGGTCAACCGATATATCGAGTCAGTGGTACTATCCTCCCACACAAGTCTGGTACCAATTTGCCAACCGCGGAGGAATGGGAAGGTTTGGTGAACCTGAGGCGCGGAGTTCGATCCCATATGTATAGCAGGGTGCTTCCGATCATTGCGCTACACCCGCTTTTAATTTCATACTACTGCAAAAAAAATTACTTTTAAGGTCGTAGATATTGCTAATCTGATAGAGAGATCTTTTCAGTGTTTGCTGAATTTGTTGGATAGTCCATTGAATAGAGCTGGTTGCTTACGGGTGTTCTTCCGTACTAACAAGAATGTCCTTGTACAAGTAAGCTCACAATGTCGGATTCCTCGAACTTTCGATAGGTTTTGTGGTCTTATGGGTAAGTTCTCGTTGAAGCTATTCAGCAGTTACCACTTTCCTTTGTGTAAAGAATCATGTTGTTCTTTGTGAATTTGCACCTGAGCTTTTCAATATGCTTGAACTTTCGAATTAGTTATAAAATGAGTCGTAAACTTGTAAATTGGAACTAAATATGTAAAGATATCTTGTGAATATATAATGAGTACTACCCATAGTTCATTTCTGTGGAAAGTTAATTGAAGGAATTGTTGTTTTTGGGGTTCCACTAGTACTTGTGAACGTTCTTTTGCGAACAAACGCTTAAATTTATATGCTCTAGTGACCTTTAGTAATGACGTTTTAATAGAAGCGCGCGTAGCACAGTAGTTCGATGCGCCTCGCACCACACACGGGATGGGTTCCGCCACCACAGGCTCACCAAGCCCTCCATCCCTCCGAGGTCTGCAAATTAGTACCAAACTTGTCTGGGAGGATAGCAAAACGGGCTCAATACTTCGGTAATCCATAGCGGTTCATCATATTGACCATATAAGCGTTCAATCACTCGTAACTATGCTTGTTGAAGTCGAATGCATGATGTATCTCTCAGGATCCGCATCAACGCCAGAAGCTTTTAGAGTTTTAATGACGTTTAGTATAGGTAAAAGTGAATTTTTATTACGAAGTTGCCATCATTTCACTGTTGTGGGGATACAGGTCAAGATTTTCTTGTTCCTGAAAATGGTCTTAAAATGATGGTTCGTAATGATTATCACGTAAAATGATCATCACCAAGCCCAAAATTGCCACGCCAACTTTGCCTCAATGTAGTGGACTAACCATAGGATTTGCTATTGTTCTGAAGGAATTTTGCGTCAACAACTGTTCCGGCGATCCACGAGTGTTCTGCGACTGTCTGTGATGAAAGCTTGGGACTGATGTGGCTCAACAGGATCAGGATTTCAGGAAAGCCATGGTCAACTAGTATTAAACTTGTCAGTAAAGACAGAAAACCAAGTTGCTACTGCCACACTTATACCTAACCAACTTATGAATGGTAGTCACAAGACATCGAAACAAATGAGTGAGAGACTGGGATCGGAAGACACGTGAATATGGGTGGTATAGATATGTAAATAATGATATAGTAGATGGTGTATGTGAAAGCAGAGCTTTCGGCGCATGTATTACATTCTGTTTTTCAGTACAGCTTCTCCACAAATTGGTTGTTAGAGCTGCTGACAGCTCCCAGAAATTGCTAACGGTAAGAAACTTTCAAAGAGTTGACAACATGTTATCGATGTGCATCTTGATTTTGTAGAGACAATCGGTTCCTGTTGTTTTAGGTAGTCAAGAACCCTGTTTCAAATTATTTACCTGTAGGATGTCGGAAAATCTTGATGACTTTCAATACCGAGGAATTGATACTGCCGAACAAGCTTGTTCGTGCAGAAGAGGAAGCACCCCTTGTGGTGGCGATTGGAGGCATCGCCAAAGGTAAGGTGAGTGTTCTATAAGTTGATTAAAACTTGTCTTAGAAAGGTCGTGCCCTATATATTTTTTCGTAGGAACCAATCCTTTCTTCAGATAGTAACGGATTATACTGATCAAGAAGTGAAGATAAGCAACTATCCACTAAGTGCTGCCCTAACATGCGCAAAGGTCACAAGTGGTTTAGAGGAGATTTGGGGAATTGTCTGATTTTTTCAAACAGGTTTATCTGTATGTTATGGTTTCTTGTTGATGGTCTTTTCAAAGTGAGTGTAGATTTACATCTTTATGTTGCATTTTGCAAGTTGTTAGCTGGCGCTTGTCCGTTGTTAGACTGTTTTCATGTTTTTGTTATTGTTTTTCTTCTGTTGTTATTGTGTTCTAGAAATACATATTTATTAATGACTACTAAGCCAACATATCGATTCCAGTTGATAGGTTATCCCGAAACTTTGTGGAATTTGCCCATGGGTGTTTTTATAGGTTTTTTTTTGCAATATTTATGCAGTTCTTTTTAGGACAACTGACGACTTTGCATAAGTTATCCAAAGAATAATTTCTTGTACAGGTCGTTTCAAAGAATGACTGAATGTTAGGGACTATCAGAGCTTACGTCGGCAGAGTTCAAAGATTTCTTACAAGCATAGATGTGTTGGCGCGCAATGATTTGGTTAGTGTACCTCGATTTTATTTTCCATACTCACAGGTATCCACGCACTATGGCGTGCGTAAGTCACATGTAATTCATTCTGAACTGCTTATTTTGCTATATGAGCCCTTTTTGCTATACTTTTCGTTTTCTTTCGATAGCTTACTTACCATGGATGACGTGGTGCGCGTCGATAGTAGAGAAGTATTCTATGTAATTAACAAAAAGAAAAACTTTCCTTAGATGAGTCTGCAGCGACAGTGTATTGCTAATGAACTAAGAGTGCATCGGAATGGGCACAGTCGCACATGAGACGGTCCATAAATGATTACTTCTTGGAATGATCACAAGAGTTTCGCTAATGAGGGTATATATACTAACAGAATGGATCTAATCCCAAGAAATGTTGACTCGCGGTGGTCTTCCGATGTATCGGGCCAAGACTGCTATCCTCCCAAGCAAGTATGGTACCAATTTGCCGACCCCAGAAGGATGTAAGGCTTGGTGGGCCATGGGAGCGGAGATCGATTCCGCGTCTGTGTTGCAGGGCACCTCCGACCACTGCGCAACATGCGCCCTAATTTAGATAGGCCATAGGGAAACATATACAGCAAAGAAATAGGTGTATAGATTAAACAGATTGTAAAAAAAAATCGCTTTTATGAAGTCTGTTTTTTTGTTCTCAAGGAACGGTACGTTTCTTGGTTTCAGTGACAAAAATAAGGCACAGAACGCTTTCGAAGCGAGATTCGCATTAGAGAAGAATCACAGTTGCTTTGTTTTGTGCTTAGCAGGTTTCTTGCTCCAGTGCACCTTCTAGAATCCTTTTGATAGAACAATCGAAGACAAGTATTACACGAGTGAGGTGCATCAAGAACTGAGACGTCTGCGATCGATAGTGATCAATAAGTTCTATTGGTAGGCAGCGTGATACCGCCCGTTTCATAAATAGTACTGTAAAAGTTTAAAAGATATGATTACGAAGCTTCCGTTCGCTTAGCGTGATTTCCGGTATTTTCGTCGCTAACTATTTGGTGCACTCGGAGGTAAATTGCTGCGAAGATCCACAGCAATTGAGGCGCTTCATAAAACAGTTCCAGAGGTTTCGCAAGAAGTGGAGTCTTGGAGTGTTATCGTGATGGAATAAATGACCTTTATCTAGTTGGAAGAGGTGTGTAAATTTGAATGGTTTTTGTTACGACTGATAAAGGTCAGTGTAAATTGAGGTTTTGCGTTAGAAATTGAAATATAGGCATGGTGCTTGTGGATTTCTTCCGTCAAAAAAAGTAGGAACGGGCGCTGTAACTTCGTTGTTCACGAAGCAATAGAATAAATAGAGTAAATAAGTTACAGCTGTTCCAGGGGTTCTGTTTTGCTTGGACTGAAATTGGTATGACGCACTTGTAATGCTAATGTAATGTTAATATCAAGAGCTGCCGTAGGGATCTGATAGTATGGGGATGAAGGATGATGCCTTCTATGAAACCTTGATCGGTGGCTTCAGTACTATAATTGGCCCTAAGAGGGCGGAAGGCGAACTGCGAATTTGGACCGATGGACTGGAATGGGATTAACAGGTTGATGGGCTCCCGGAGTTTGTTATGACAACCGAGACAACCCACTTTCACTCGCAACTCAGAGAGCCATTCTCTAGACGTTATACGTGAGAGTCTTCCATGTGAAAAATGCTATAATGGATTGCATAACGGTAGAATTACAGGGAAGAACTTCATCCGATCCTCATAGAATTTTCTGTGTAGCATTTTCAAACTTGTGAACAAGTCGATTTTTGTGCCAGTCTATCACATCTACTGTTTAGGTACTAGCACTTCTCAGATTCCATTCGTTTCATGGCATCCATCATCCACCACTCTGTTCCAACTTCTACGTGTGGCTTCTGCTACTGATTGAGGGTTTTCATTTCATCTTGAATGTCGTAGAATGATGGTCAGGTAGATTCGTCCTGGAGTCCTGAGATAGCCGGACTAGAGCGTTCTCAGTTGGATTTAAAAGTCTGATTTTTCTCGGATAAATCCGGTAGTAATATCCCAACACCGCTGGGATGATAGGATTGGTGAATCTGGAGCGGGATCGAACCACATTCGCCCGCTAATTTGACGAATATATATGGAGGCCTCGTAATTCTAGCATTTACAGCAGATGTGATATGTAATATTTTTAGACAACGAGACATAAATGTCTTCCGATGATACCAGAGAGTGAAATCCAAGGAGAAACCTTTGGAATAGGATGGGTACGAATGCCAACTTTGCTAATACCAACTCAAGTCATTCAACGGTTAGTGGAAGGCTTTCTGACATAATTGACGCTGACTGATTCTGTTAAGCTTTTTTACTTTGAAGATTTACTAGTTCTTTCGAGAAGCCTGAGGTGTGGACGAACTGTTGATTCTGTGTATTAACTTCGGGATATCATTAGAATTCTGAGATGGCCGTGCTGTGGCGCTCTCCGATTTTCAAGGAGTTGATCTCAGACAACTTCACTACCAATTTCCCGACCTCGAAAGAATAATGGATTTGCTGAACCAGGACCAGTATCGAATCGCTAAATTATTGTTAGCATATTGGTAAGACATTATTTTGTCGAAGAATGAGCTCAAGAATTTAGAGGTTTTTGAGTTAATCCTGCATATATTCTATCAGTCTTCCTTTTAAAACAAAATTTAAAGACTCCGTCTTCACTGATGTCGACGACCGACCGGCATCGAATTATACGCAAGTTGATTTTCTTTTCTACCAAGTCAAAACTGTACTGTCAGGCTCAAGCTGTGAAATATAAAAAGGGTAAAGGATGCTTGCGGCGTTGATGATCCTGAGGGATGCGCCATCCATTCGACTTCATCAAGCATCGTTAGAGATGATTGAACTCATATCTGGCCTTTACAATGTCTCGCGGTGGCCTACCGATGTATCGAGCTAAAGCTGCTATCCTCCCAGACAAATCTGGTATCAATTTGCCGACCCCGGAGGGATTGAAGGCTTGGTGAGCCATGGGGGTGGAGATCGATTCCCCGTGTGTACTGCAGGGCGCCTCCGACCATTGCGCACTCCGCGGTTGTGAGCGGTATCGGAATAAAAGTCGGCATGTGTGGTATGCTAAGTTATTTGGCGTTAAGCCTCATTTTTACAAGTCGTAAATCATACAAATAGTATGCCAATCTGATTTTTGGTAAAGTCCCTTCATGAGGCAAAGCATTGGCAGAAAATAAACACAAATAGTGAGAGCGGACTGGTTTAATCTTATTTTCTTTTATTGAATTTACCCTGAACTATATTCGCTGGTCTTTTGGGATTCGTTGTTATTCTACATTAATACAAAAAATGGTTTAAAAACAAGCTTAAGCTTAGTAAGAACACTGCGGCGCGTTTCAAGAGAGCACAAAGGATACGTATTGATCGCTATCGTGGTATTTACAACACGTGTAGCTTAACTTAGTCACATTATAGGCCTAAACTGTTGGCTTTACTGTGCAGCTCTAGGTGTTCAATTGATCAGCATGTGGGCCCAACAAACGCACTGTTTTTTGAACAAGTTTTCGTTACTGTACTATCAATTAGTATGGCTGTCATCGTATTGCGTACGTGAGCTTTCCCTGTTCTACTTATACTCCTAAACCGCTCTCAGCCGTTTTCTAACTAGTTTTCTACAGAACATCGAACTCAACAAGCCAGAAACAACACGGAATTTGCGCTAACAAATTCGCAGACATTCGACGAAATGTTAAAGTCAGCATCGATTAAAACTACGACGGATGACTTCGGATTCCTCAATGAGAAATTCCAGAGGAAAAATAAAGAAGAAAACAAAAGCACACAACGAAAGTGGAGAATACATGTTCGAATTGAATTCTACAATTCTTGATGTCCATATCGATCTACCGGCCACATACAATCGCATCCAATCGGCACATTCCTCAACGTGTGCGGACTCCAGTACACTGAACCAACAGGACGTTTGGAGACGTGAACCTGTAAGAACTCTCCTTCAACCAATGTTCAACTTTCATTTACTGCCTATTCTTTCTTCATGGGAGGATGTCGTGTTAAGCCTCCTAGCTGCAAGTCTACAACCATTCTTTAGTTCAAAAGAGTCCATGAATGCCACCGGTGACGTCTTGCTAAGGGTATAGCAAGGCTACCTTGGAATTCATGTATTGAATTAACGAGTATAGCCTTTCTGTCAGCCCTTTACCCTGACGGTGCTACCACCAATCACCCGTCGACGAAAATGATGTGGAGAATCGGCATTGAAATGGAGTGCTGAGATATTCGCAAAACTCGGAACCTCAGTTAGGCTACGAACCTGCGATTACCTTTTTCGGAACCCTACGTGCTATTCTCTTTCAACCATTTCTATCTAGTAAATCCTAGTGCTGCATACGCATAGCTAGCTGTCTTCGAAATGGTTTTTTGGATTCGAGTGAAGTTGATAGATGAATAAGTTTGAACTTATTCATCTATCAACTTCACTTCCATAAAGAGTTTTACACTGTTCGAATTCGTTTCGATCCGGCGAATTTTTTCAGTTTCTTAGTCCTCTTATGCAGTCAGTTCCTTGTCTTTGCATGTTTTTTTGAGAACGTTTTGTCTTTCTAAAAGAAGTTCAACTCTTCGATATTTGTTTAGTATTCCATTCTTGGCTCTTTGGATCCTTAAAAGTCCTTTTAAAATGGATAAGTTCTGAGGAGGCATGAATAATCGGTACTTCTCTATATTCTTAAGCTTAAACGATGTTCTTATAGAAATATGTTGTAGCCAACGTTTCGATGGCTTCGGTTGGGCAGTGGTATTGAATAGAGTGGAGTGAAGCATCACGTAATTGAAGTTTTCTGACTCCTTGGAGTCTCTTATACAGGTCTATGATCCATCCTGATCTATTGCTATTCTTTTTGATCGGTTCACAACGGAGACTCACATCTCAAGAAGGAATGGCTGGGGACCATGGATTAGAGTCATTGTGGCTCAGAAGAAGGTGAAGGCGTCGAAGCTACAGTAGAGCTTTTTATCACAATCCTCTTATGGACTTGAAAACGTAAAGTACTGGTAGAAATTTCGTCGACCGGCTTTCCGTTAAGCTTGACATTGATCGAATAATTCACTTTTCGATTGATGAGCAAACACGAGGTTGTTCTTTTATTTTTTATTTATGATAAGCTGACGTTTCGGCGGATTTCGCCTTCCTCGGAGGGTTGAGAGCGAATACTAAACCAAAACTTGGATTAGACTGAACAGAAAATAGCTTTTTCGCCATACTCACCGCTTTCTATTAGTTTTGAGTATTTCATCTGGAGACCAACCGCACAGAGTTCTCATGGAAGCGTAATGTATCTCTATCACATTGAAATACTAGTTTTAACTATTGTGTGAGATCACGCGTGGTAACGAAGCATTCCTGGGGATCCTTTTCGGATCCTTGGAATTTATCCTGAGTGATTCGAGAGTTTTGCGCGCTTCTGTTTTCGATTACTGCATGAGGATGTTAACTTCTACTTTAAAATCTTCCCCGTTATGATTCTGTGTCTTTTGCGCGCCGAGTGGAGTATTTCGTTTAACGTAAAGTTCTGGATAAAATCTAAAAATCCTAAATTGACCTGGAGGGAGGAATGCCTCGTAATCGCGCTTGGTCCCACATAGTATTGAAGATTGATGTTTTAATATGAGAGGCACAGTACACCTCCATACTGTCAGGTTGGTCCTCAGGTGACATACTCAGTACAGGAGTTATAGAAAGCGGTGAATGTGCTGTGAAGCTATTCTGTGTTCAATGTGATTGAAATCTTGGTTTAGGGTTTCTTTGTTTGGTTATGGAGGCGTCTGGCAGAGTAGATTGCTATCAACTTGACCTTTCCAGCCTCTGAGGAAGGCGAAATCCGCCGAAACGTCAGCTTATTCGTGAATAAAGAATAATTACACCTCGCGTTTGGTCAACAAAAATACGAAGAATTACTTGATCAATGCCGAGGTTAATAGAAAGTCGGTCGTGGGAGATACTGAGATATTCGCAAAACTTGGACCCAGGGCCAGATCGAACCACGATTACCTTTTCCGGGAGCTCGCGTATTATACTCTACACCACTGAGGTCCTTGCTTTGCGTTTCTGTCAGCTAGTTTTCAACCTGTGTCTTTGTTTAATGTTTTCTCTGTTTGGTTATGGAGGTGTTTGGCTGTGTAGATTGCAGTTAATTTGGCCTTTATAGGCTTTGAGAAAGGCGAAATCCTCCAAAATCTCATCTTATCGTGAATGACGAATGAAGTAACAACCTCGTGTTTGCTCATCAAAAGAATAGTGAGGTACATATAGCAATGCATTTGTCACAAGTTCATAGTTCTTAAACTCAACTATGATTTCTTTCTCTACATTTATGCGGTATTTAATGGGAAGTGCTCGGTTCTTTGCTGTATTATATAAATTTCTTAGACTTTTGATGATCCTTGCCCCTCATTCCATAAAAAGCAAAGTCTTAGTAAGTTGCATGGTAGCTTTGCTCTCCCATTATCGTATCAACTGTCTGTCAGACGATTCCCATCTAGATGACACGTCTCGTAATAATTCCCACGGCCGACTTTCTATTAATATTATTATGCTGGGTAGATTGCTGTTACCTTGACCTTTGCAAGCTCTGAGAAAGGCGAAATCCACCGAAACGTCAGCTCGTTCTTGAATAAAAAGTAAAATAACACCTCGTGTTTGCTCAAGCAGCATATAGAGGATTCCCATCTATTTCTTGAACTTTTTCGTTTCTTCGAACTTTCGAATAGATTCTTCGTTGCTCACAAAATCATATTTACTATGGTGAACAAACTGTGGTGCAGTACAACATGATCTAGTACCCAATTATTCGGTCTCTTTTTTACTTCACTTTTAGTTTCAGCTCTCATTTTTCAGTCCCATTTCAGTGTTCTTAGAGACTTTCCGTTCTCTATCTGTCTCCTGTAGATAAGATTTCCATTATGAAATCCAAAAAGAGAAAGCGCACCTCCCCATAGCGTTGAACACATCGAAGAAGATTGTGTACGCATGCCTGAAAGAACGGAGATTTTTTTCGTTTCTGGAAAAATAGATGTCCGTCTGAAATGAGTGCTGTGTTGATTATAGGATACATCTATTGCTTTTTTCTCAATGACCAAACTTTGTTCTCTTAAGATGGAACTATAGTGTCCCTAGGGCATTGGTTTTCGTAGTTATGTTCTGTCACTCGCGGATCTGCTGTCCACTCTCGTATTCCTCCAATTCACTCTCTGCACGCAGAGATATACGCGCATGAAGATATGCACATACACATACACACATACATACGTATACACAGGCATATAGATGTTGATCAAACTCACATTTACACGAACATACATATACAAATATGTTCCCACATACGTACACACCATTCACACACGTATACCACACACACACCATTCGCACACCTATACCACCTCTCTATCGAAGTAAATTCCAAGAAAGAAAGAAGCGCTCTGCATTGGTGGATTCCGGAGGAGTGCAATATGCATTTAGTTCCATTCGTAACATTGTAGAGGTGGTTCAATGCATATTTGGCCCAAGAAACTGACTTTCGATGGCATAACAGCGTATGAAGTGAGTGTTTTTGTCCTCTTGAAGAAGTCTACCACTAGTTTGTCGACTGCGGACGAATGGAGGGGTTGTTGAGCCCGAGACATGGGATCGAACTAGCGACCGATTCAGTGTGTTGTAGTGAACTCCTGTCATCCCGCGTTATACGCCTAGTGAGACACATAATTTCAATAGCCACCAAGAAAACAAATACATGACGATCATACGCTCAAAATTATATCCACATAATGTGCAATCACTTCTACCACATATGTACAGATTCTTGGATGAATGCAGCTAAAGATACATCATGCATTCATATGGATATACACATGAGTAATTGCATGGTCGATTCATTTTGTTGATGTGAACCGTTGAAAATGAAAGGTTGGCTTATGTGAGGTTAGAGGCTGACTAAGGCATGAAGAACGCCGAAGAATGTAAGTGGAGACACAATACATGGTTTTTAGTAAGTTCTGATAGTTACAGAAAACTTAGTTCTTGGAAATTGGCGATAATAGCAACAAGAAGAGCTTGAAAGATCCTGACTTTTTTCCTACGACATATTGAATATACTAACTCAGAAGGCAGTAGTGAGTTTATTCTGATGGAGAGATTATCAAAGTTTACAGATCGGGTCTCTATTGAAGACGAAATTTTTACTAAACATGAAACCCTCTAGCGAGATATCATGATCACCTGTTCAACTAGGGAATCGGTGTAACCATGCTCGTAGTCGGCGGTGTTCTGACATCGGATCTCGACGAGGAACGGCGGATCGAACTCATCGTTCAACGTATTCAGATCGATTGTCCGTCGCTCCATTGCGCAGAGGTCCTCATTGCGCTCACGGTTCTTGTTCATAGCATTCTGAATCACGGAAATAACGTGTAACGCAAATCAGCGTAAATATGTCACTATAAGCCAGAATGAGTGAGAATGTCAAGTATGGAATTTTCAATAGATGTTCAGGTACAGAGTACGCTTGCAATTCTTATCAGATCTAGGTAGTTTGTGAATAGTGTTCGCTAGCGAAACTGTCGTCAAAAGGATTTTTACTTTTATTCCTTAACGGTTGAAATATGAATGGAGACGTCTCTGTGAAAGAATGTCATCAATCCTTCTGAGGATCGGTTATTGGTGCTGTGATGTTAGGGATGAGATTCTCACGATGTCACATTGTCACGACATCATTGGCATTTGTGGATATACGAATCCACAAGTCTACTAGTTATACAGGACGAGAGACTACGAGTAACGAGCGGCGGCTCGAATTTTATGTGCGAGGCGACGATTTACAACTAAGTGGAAGTGGGAAATAAATTACGCTATAATCACCGTCAACGAACGACGCATTGCGTTTAGTCTGTCGGCCGGCTAGCAATACTCGTTTGGGCAAATTTAGCCGTGATTCGGCGCTAAGAAGAAGGCCGACGTTCGACTGGCTGAGTAGCAACATCTCTTTCAACATGGCTGGATTTAACCCATTAAAAACGCATTAGCAATGGATAGTCAAGAAATGGATTTCCTCTTCCTTGGTGTTCTAAAAATTGTTGGCAAATGAGCGTTAGCAGTGGATTTTCTTCATAGAAGAACAGGGTATTCTCAGAAGGCTTTCTTTGGCACTTTCGATTTATGTAGAATTGCTCTTTGTCGTTGAGCAAAAAAGAAACAACTGAAATAGTGATGCTTCTTTTGAGCTGAACAATGTTGTACATTTAATATGTGAAACTAGTACGTCCCAAACTATTATTGTAGTTTAAAAAACTTAAACTACGGCTTTTAGTAAGGCGTGTTACGAATCCTAATTAAAGAACTCATATTGACCACGGTCCATAGGTGGGTGATGGCCACTGAACTGAATAAATTTCGTTGACAAGGTTGTGAAGACGTTCTTCATTCTCATAAATCAACCAAAAGTTCAAGCTCCACACCTGCACTTCGTCTAGAATTACCGTTCTGGCGATAAATTTCGGGGCTAGATTGTGGGTGGTTGCTAGTTGAGCGAGAACCGAACCACAACTATTGCGAAAATGGTGCATTATCTCTTTGCACAACATAGTACGCATGACTTACTGCCATGTTAAGATGAATATAAGTGGATGAGAAGAAGTTTGTCCTGTCTGAAGCTGATTGGAGACCTAGTGAATAAGGAGCTGCATCAAGGAACTTGAAACATCTGCCCGCGTCTGTTGAAATTTGCAGTAAAGAAGAAGAAAAATCTTAAAGCAGCTACAGGAACAACACTTCTGAAGCTTCAGAGCTTTGTAAGGGCATTCAGGCATTCAAAAGACCTGCTGCCATTTGGCCAATTGACAGGTCGAGCTTCAGAAGTCTGGAAGAAGTTGCCAATGATTGACGACTTTTGTCCCAATCATGTAGAGAGTCATGACTACTTCACCCGGTTTCATGCCTTCTCTCAGGAAGTAGAATTGTTGTCACAGAGATGCTTTCCTTTGATTTGAACACACTATCGTGTTAGCGAAGAATCAGAGAGCATTCAGTTGATACAGAATCAGATTTTAAGACGAGGGTTAGTACCGGTCGATTCACTGGCTGGGATTCCTTCATGCTGCCTGTCAGGATTTATTGTTGTCAGTCAGCCAGACATTAGCTGGACGGTGTGATTTCACTCATCGGTATATAAAATTTTTTTGTTTTGTTGTTGATTTATTTATCTACTTTCTTTCATTTATTACAATATTATTACATTACTGTTATTTATGACTACCATTTTCATTTTTGTTTTCACTTTTTATTTGTATTTTACTCGTTGTTTACTTTTGTTTTTTATTTTACTCTTTCTCTTTCATACATGCAACAACGTCCTAAAAGCCGATTACGTAACCATAACTCTCTTCATCGGCATAAAAAGAGGCGATATCTTCACTCTCCAAAACGTCATTTAGCAACTGAAGTGGGACAACATGGAGGCAAATGTCGACGACCAACAGCAACGTCAGCTTTCCCACGTTGATTACATCGTTCTGATAAAATGGAGCACTGCTTCAACAGAAATGAGTGTTGGTCGATTGTGACTTCCTATATGAGTGACCCGTTTGGTGGAACATGGAAAACTGTGTGAGTGAGAATCGGATTTGTCGATGATGCCTCTTTCAGACGGTGGAAAAAACAACTTTAGTTGCTCCAAATATGTGTTACATCTGGTTCATGATATCAAAATGACGAGCACGAGCGAATTTGGTTTATAACTCAGCGAGAAAAGACGAAAGACTTGAAGAGCTTACAAAAACATAGAAGTGGTAACGAGGACGAAGAACTTGAGGTTGGATATTCGTCCACCACCCCCGTCTTTACGAACCACTCTAGCTTAGGGCGCGGAATATTGTACGCTATATATGAAGCATGGAAATGCTGCCATTGCCATCAAACGCGTAATCGACAGTGGTAGTGGGGTTATTTCATAGCATTCAAATAGGAAAATCTTTGGTTGTAATCTATGAACTGGAAATATAGTGCTCTTCGTATCATTTTAGCCAGCAGGGGCTGTTGTTAAACTTCGGTACACAGTGAAACTAAATGAAGTCTTTTGTTGGCATCTGAGGTAATGCAGGTGATTCTTCAACGAAAATTTTTTTGCTCGCAGCTCAGAGAAATGTGCAAAGTTAATAGAACACCTATGATGATGGATTTCCGTGTTTTGAAAGTTTTCCTAGGCTTCATTTTAGAGTGGAACATCGCCAATGGAAGTGTAGATTCGTTGGATCTAAGCGCAATCATCTGGGCATAGATATCATTCTACGAAACAGGTTCCGCCGCAAGAGCGTTAATCAATCTTTGACAATGCAATGGTATATACGGGAAGTCAACTGACCTTGTTTTTTCTTGTTCGATGCTGGTGCCGGTGTTGATGACGATGATCGTCGAATGTGTCGAACAATTCATCGTTTTCGATATTGAAAGACGTTTTATGACGATGCCGTCGGCGATGCGCACGTAAACGTAATCGTTCGAAACCCGATAGAACAGAATCTGAACTGTGAAGTAAGCTTAAGACGAAGTTAGATAGAAGGATAGTGCTAACACCATGCCAGATCATTTATGGCTATACGATGGTTCTCTGAGCATATCCAGCTTAGGGTATCCCTTTTAGAGTTGTGGATTTCGTAATCGTGTTCTTATGCCTTTACTAGATACATAGATAATTTTAAGGTAACAACCAAATTTATGATCTCCATTGCAGTTGTTCTGTGAACGGAATCTGGATGAGTGTCAAACACGCAGAAGCATGCACTCTTTTGTGCTAGCAACTCTTATCTGCTTAGTATGGTGGTGGAATAGAACCCAAGCGGTTAGACTTCTGAAAGTCATGTCTATGGCAGACACGCGGACGATATCCATCCTTTCATAAGGTGTCTTTTTTTTACGGTAACTACGTTTTTTGCTTTCCAGTTGACTATTCTGTCATCACGCATGTCTAGTTCTACATTGGTTTCTATTGGTCACATCGTCGTTTACTTAATATTTTTGAATCAGACGAAGATTTCGTCCACCGAAGGAAAGATTACTATCTCTTTGATGATTATTTTATTAAACTAATAACTTTTAAGAACTCACAACAGTAACAACAATGAAAACTTACATCAACGTCGCATCAGTTCAACAAGGGCACTTCATAAGCACTACTAACTTCGTTGGCTGATCAGTACGTATTCTTTGTTTGATAAGCTTACACGAGGATGACAAATGATATTTATTCGGTTAACGTTTCGACGTCTTCATCTTCATCAGAGCCGACAATCCGAGTCGATAGCTCATGGTTGTTCTTCGTTTCGTTGAATTTTGTTGGCTGAGTTTTTATTTGAGCAAATTAAATGATAAGACTGAAGAACCATTTAGACTCTTCGGCACTTCATAGCAGCCATCGTGATGTGTATCGAGTACGAAATGTCGCATGGATCTATGAATTGTGTCGTCTAGCTGAAGCTTCATAAGTTGCATTCCTTTCATGATCGCCGATTAGTTCAACCGGAAGAGGAGTGTTAAACTTAAGGAAACTAGAAATTGGTTAGGGTAGCACTGTGGTGAATTCAAGGTTATCTTATGCAGTGAAATGAGAACGAATATATAGGTGATAAGGAAGTCGGCTTTAGAATGATATAGTAGGACGACTTTTTGTTAACGTGTTGTATTCGTCATAAATTCTGAGCCATTAAACTTTTACATCGGACTACAAATTAATACACTTTGTTACTGTTGTGTTTTTGATGTTACAGTAACCCACGAAAAGAGCTTATATTTGCTCAAAATAATGCTCTGAAAACAAAAAATAGTCTGCGCATTATCGCAATCTTTGTACGCTGTAGAGTTATCCTCTATGTCGTTTTTTCTCTTCCTTTGTTGCTCAAGTATTTGAATGATGTCTCTTCTATTATAGTTTGCAATGTACTTTGTGGTTGATTGATTCACAAATATTTGTGGCATCGTATGCTATTCGAAAGCTTCTTGTTTACAAGTTGGCAGTCTCCACAGCACTGTTGGCTTCTTTCCCATACATGGCGATGGGTTTTCAAACATTTCCATAGAACATTCCTCTTTTGTGATCACTCTTTTTATAATGAACTACGACAACCAAGTGTGGTTTTTCGAATTTTCGAATATACGCGATATCTTATGGCTTTGAATGGTTGAATATTTGTTGCAGGAAAGAGTAATTTGTCGCATCGGGAATCCCGACTGTTATGGGATTGGCCGCGTTCCTCTTGCTTAGATTGAAAGAATCCTGCCAACGGTTTACCGCCTCATCGTGGCTGGGAGGTGTTCCTGGGTGTCGGACTGCAATGTACAGCGGGGGATTCATCCCTGGCAGGGTCTCCCAAGCTGAGAACGAATCCGGCGTTTCCATCAGGAAGCCTAACTAAGAGTAAACCAATACCAGGGCCTACCACCGTCCTGGTATCAAAGTCACATGGCGGTAAATCTCCCTCTGATCCACAAGGGCTGCGACTGCCCGTGGTGGTGAAGATCTGGGGCAGATTTTGGCCAGGCTGGCCTCGGGACTCCAGGGAACCATAATGGCTTAACCAGCAAATCTCCGAAAAGTGGAG